CTCGAATCCGCCTGGTGATTGGGGTGACCGCGAACCTGGCCTGAGACCCCGGATACTTGAGTTTTCGGGGTCTAACAGTAGGAGCATGGAAGACAGTTATGCTGAGTGTGATTTTATGAACTGTGTGTGCCTGGATCAAGAGGTTTCAGAGGAGAACAATGTTAATATGTGGCCTAGAGACTGGTCTTGTGATATTTTGGTGAAGAATGTGGCTGCTTTTTGCTCTTGTCTGAAGAGTCTGCCTGAGGCTAAAGTGAAGAGTTTTGGATTAATTCCAAAAAGTTTTGGATTAATCTCAAAACAGCCTAGTATAGTGTCTGTGTGGCACTACTAGTGTTAACTCTCATGAAAATATATAACAGAAAGGCACAAGCTGATGAGCGGGAGGTCCATGTTCCAATCCCAGTAAGCAGCAGAATTTGGTAGCTTTGGCTACTTGGTTCCGGCTTTCAAGTCAAGGATAGAAGAAAGGCATTACGGAATCTTCTCTGTAACTAAGGAAAGCCCCTGAGGCTAGGCATGTGTCAGGGGTGCCCTTGAATGGAAGCCCAGAGAGGCAATTGTGTCAAGTTTTGAAGGAGAAGGCTGGATTGCCTTGGGGACTCCAAGATGTTAGAGATGCCAGATCTGTGGGATACCTGCTGAGGAGAACTGCTAATCAGCCCAAGAGAAATAAGTGTCATAGTCAGTAGAACTGAAAGGAGTTGGAGACCTGAAGAGGGCTTTGACATCAGATATGGAGATACAAAGTTTGGAGTTTGCCCACCTGGTTTTTTATCTTGGTCCAGTATTTCCTCACTATGCTCCCTTCCCTATGTTTTGAAATGGTAATGTATATCCTGTGCCATTATATGTTGTAAATATGTGATCTGCTTTTTTATTTTGATTTTACAGGTGATTACAGTTAAGAGATTGCATGAATCTCTGAAGAGACTTTAAATACAATGATATTGTTACAAACTTTTGGGGGCCAGGGAGTGGAAAGAAAGATAAAAGGTTAGAAAGAAAAATGGCTTCTAAAGGAAGTGGCATTATTAGGAGGTGTGGCCTTGTTGGAGGAAGTATGTCACTGTGGAGGTGGGCTTTGAGGTCTCAAGCCTTGCCTAGTGTCTCAGACTACTTCCTGTTTCCTGTGAGTCAAGACGTAAAAACTCTCAGCTCCTTCTCTAGCACCGTGTCTGTCTGCATGTTGCCTTGCTTCCCACCATGAGGATAATGGACAAAACCTGTGAACTGTTAACCAGCTCCAATTAAATGTCTGGCTCCTCTGTCACACAGTTTGTGCCTATCATAGCTCTAGTCACCAGACTCCTCTCCTATTCCCTTCAGCTCTTGATGTACCAAGTGTCTGGTCTTCCATCACTAACCATTGTCAGGGGCTCAGACAGAACTGGCCTTGGCCCTGAGCAGCCGCAGACCAAAGAAAATGGATGTTTACTCTCAGCCCCAGCTTCATCAAGACAGTAGAAGCTAGGAGCCCGGGCATTAGCAGTGCATGAGAGAGAGTGTGTGTGGCAAGAATCTCTTACAAGTGGTGGGTGCTGGGTGCCTAGAACTAGCCTAGAGCAGAAGGTGAGATGCAAATGACAAGCAGCAGGGTTTCTCTGTGTAGCCCTGGGTGTTCTGGAACTCACTTTGTAGACCAGGCTGGTCTCAGTCTCACAGAGATCCACCTGCCTCTGCCTTTGCCTCCCAAGTGCTGGAAGGTGTGTGCCACTACCCAACCAAGCAGCATTTTAAAAGCTCCCAGTGCCAACTAAATCAGAGTCTCTGATGATGGACTCAGATGCAGACATTTTGAAAACCTCCAGGAAACCACCTGGAAAATGTGCCATTCAGACAACGTGGTCCTGGGGAACGGGAGTATGTTGCCCCCTTTTCACAGCCTTGCAGAGGTGGAACTTGGACTCTGGATAAGGCAAGTGTCTGGCACAACTATGTATTTCTTAAAGAGGTGGGAGGCCCCTGAGGCAGGTCTCAGTATGGTTCTGCCTTGCTTTTTGACAGGGATAAGTTTCAAGAAACCTGTAGATAGGTGATTTTCTGTGTTGCTAGCACAGCAAGGTACATTCACAGAACATCAACTGCACTGTGTTCAGCTGCCTCGGGGCAAGGCGCTCAGAGGTGTGTGGTTCTGTGTCACTACCTAGACCTTTGAGGCATACAGCAGCAAAGCTAAAATGCTACCTAAGGCCTGTCTTCAGGCAAGCAATGGCTTATGAGGGGCAGAGCGATGGGCCCAAGGTGTGTGAAATACGTGGTCACCCACATGGCCATCCATATGGTAGGGTTTTTTATGCCTGCATGCCTGTCTTTTGTTTGTTTGTTTTGTTTTGTTTTGTTTTTTTGAGACAGAGTTTCTCTGTGTAGCTTTGGAGCCTATCCTGGCACTCGCTCTGGAGATCAGGCTGGCCTCGAACTCACAGAGATCCGCCTGCCTCTGCCTCCCGAGTGCTGGGATTAAAGGCGTGAGCCACCAACGCCCGGTTCGCATGCCTGTCTTATGTGTGTGGTCAACTTTCAAGTAAAAGTTTGTTTTAGATGCTTCACTCACATGTGTTCTTGACCTTTTGTTTCCTAATTCCTCAAGGACAGTGCCAGGCCTGATGGGAAAATAAAATCTTCAGTGCTTTCATCTTTGAGATTTTGCTGTAAACTGGCATGTGGACAAACACAGTAAATGATAAATTCAGCTTCCATGCAGCACTGTCCCAGGGCCATGTGAGATAAGCTAGGGCTGACGGCGTGGAGCCAGAGCAGACCCAGGTATATAGTTCTGTGGCAGAATACTGGCTGAGAATGTCTCTGGGATTCCCTGTAGATTTCCATCCACTTCATTTGTCTTTGATACCTCTGCTCTGACGGCCATCAGAAATTACTCTAGACTGTCATAAATCAAAATGGGCACTTCCTCCTTTTCTCTCCCTCACATAAATGCCTTACTCTGTATGGAATGACTTGGGTCAGCAGAAGTACATTGAGAAAGCATAGTATTTTTTCCTCTGTTCCAGTACAGAACCAAAAGCAGTCAATCTCTGTGTACATAAGCCTCTGCATAGGCCATGGCGCTTTGTGCACAAACGAGGAAGTGGTGACGCCCTCAGGAATGAGTTTCATTTTTTAAATCTGGTAACATGCAGTCACTTCCAATGGGCGGTGGGATGTGAAATGCATGGCCACCCTACCCATATGGCACATTTTTCTATATTCACATGTTCATCTTGGGTGTGTGGTCAATTTACAAGTTAAAAATTGAATCGGGGACTTTACTTGTGTTTCTATGACTTTGTGCTTTCTAACTCCTTTGTCTCATTTTCTCTTACCCATGTTTCTCTATAGAATGCTTGGCTGAGGGAAGAAAAGGCTACTTTCTGGGACATGACTCATTACCCCCTCCCAAATTAGACACTGAGCTCACCTGGGCAGCTGTTGTGTCTGATGGCAACCCGGGCTATAGAAGTTTAATGAATGAATGATGTTAACCCAGGCTATAGCTTAATGAATGAATGCCACTCTTGGAATGATGTTGGAGTGTCCCAGACTAGACTCACTAGGACAGCACAGATAGACTAAATACTTCCATCATTGATGGCAGGGCTGAGTACCGAGGCCAGCAACCTGGGCCAGGAATATGGGTACCATTAGGAAGTGCTATGGGTGTTCTGTGGGGACAGGAAACAGTCTCACAGGGTATGTAGACTCTGTCACATTCTCCATGCCTCCTGGGAGTCAGAGGGAGTGCCGAAGAGTGTCATGTGAGGGTGTGGGGAGTCATCCAAAGGAGGAAAAAGCTAGAGGAAACTAAGAGATTTCAGATGTCTGGAGGCATTAGCAATCGGGGTCATGCATCTGGCTCCTTGTATAGACCAGGCTGGGAACAGCATCTACAGGCCCAGGATAGGGAAGGAGGAAGAGATGCACAGGTACCACAGCAAAAGGAAGCCATAGAGGTTTTTGTTTCTAGCCCCTCCCCTGGGCCATGAGGAGGAGGCTTCCATTCTTAAAGGGTTTGCTAGATTCAAGGTAAAGGAAGCCCCAGGTGAGCCTTTGGCCAGGTGCCTGTTAGGACACTTAATATTCCCCTGGAAACAGCTCCTTGGAATTTCCCAAGAGCCTTTGGGTAACCATATAGCCCACGGGTGAGGAAGCCAATCCCCCCCCCCCCCAAGGGGACCTGGAAGACTTGAAACTGGAATTGCAATACCACTGCCTGGAATGGATTGGAGATGTCTTATGCTGTGGATGCTGTGACCATAAATGTTGATGGGCCGGGGCCAGGAGCCTCCTACCCTTCTGGCTTCACTATCAGATTTTCTGATGAGGACTTTCAGGGCTTTCCGATAAGATTCTGGGGCTTGGAAGACCGTTCAGTAAAGATGGCATGGGGTCATGTATACAGCCTCTGTGTTACTAGATTGATTGTGTTCCCCTAGAGTGCAGTCTCCACCCCTTCCCAGGGACCCCTGCTGGTCTAACATTAAATGAGCAACACATTCCCTGTCACCGTGGCAGCCTCTCACCCTGCTCTCAGCTCTCCTAGGCTTCCCACTTCCCATACCCCTGGCTGCACCTCTGGGGATGAAAGGCCTAAAAAGCTTTTCCCACATCCAGCCAGGCACTCTGTGGAGGTGTGAAGAGCAAAAGTGGTTGGGGAATGGGGAGACAAGTGGCTTCACTGGTAGATGCAGGAACCAGGATGAGCAGAAGGGTAGCTTGGGTTGAACAGAGAAATCACAGAATCTAGACAAAGCCAAAGGTTGACAACACTGCCCTGCCCATGGCTCCTTGACATCACTGCCCCGCCCATGGCTCAAAAGGGAGCCCCTAAGCTGGAGTGAGAGAATCAAAAAACAAGAGTGCTACAAGTGAACTCAATCCAGTGACCCCACTGATGACAATTACAGACGGTTAAGGGTGGGAGTTGACACTGGAGGCTAGCTGATGCCAGTTTGTACCATCAGGGCCCCAGCTCATTGTCACAAGGTACCACATCTTTCCAGCCCTTTAGCAGACTTCCAGGGAGGTGTTAGCACCTGCTGAAGACAGAGGTCAAAGAAGACATCAGTGAGATCTCTGCAACTCCACAGCACCATTCCAGCTGCATCCCACTTGTGAACACCTTCCTTCTATGACACCCTGCTGAACACTCCCAGCACCAAGATTCCTTCATTCCTGTGGTCCTCCCAGCTCCAGACAAAGCAGTGCATCCTACTATCACCTGAGTCCCACAGGCTTCAGTGGCTGGCCTTCGGGCCACACTTGAAAAGCAAGGGCTAAGGGGGCTTCAAGTTTCCTTGTACAGTGTGTGGAGTATTGCTCTATACAGAGGATCACAGAAGGAAACAAAACAGGCCTGTCTGTGGCCCCCGGAGAGAGGCGACTTGATCCAGTGGCATCACTGATGAGTGCTGAAGAGGATACACAGGTGATTATAGCATCCCAGGCTCTGGGGTGGGGGCGGCGGTTGGGGGGGGCTTCCTTGATGATGTTGACAAGGTTTGTTTGAGCTGAAATCCAGAGCAGGGGCAGACAAAATTTGGGAAGCTGCATGTGAGCAGAGGGTGGTGACCAGAACTGTATGCTTTTGTCAGTTCTCAAGAGGGCAGGTTCAATAGCTGCTTTCCCCACCATCACAAGACACTGCCTGTGACCTTTTCATTCAGTCAAGTCTCCAGAACCTTTGCCAGATCCTGAAGCTAACATTCAGGAAGGTACCGGAAGCTGGTGCTCTCAGACACTTCCCTACTTCTCTGGCAGCCACAATCTGACTGTCTCATACCTGAGCTTGACTGCTCAGTGCTCCCAGATAAGACTATATATTGTGGAGTATCATCAGAAAGGGACAGTAGGAAGGAGTAGGTCCCCAACCCTGTATTTGGCTCCATGGTATTACAGAAGCCTGGCCCGTGCACACAGACATGAGAAGGAGACAGACCCGATAAGTCTTGGTGTTTTAGCTTCCCCAGTAAAAAACTATTTTTTAAAAAAGATATTTTTTATTATGTGTAAGTGTGTGTATCTGCATGTGAATGCAGGTACTCCAGGAGGCCAGGAGAGCATGTCAGAGGCTGGGGTTAGAGGCATGAGTGCTGGGTTCCAAACTTGGTCCTCTTAAAGAACTAACATGTGCTGTTAACTTCTGAGCCATCTCTCTAGCCCTGAAACTACTTTTCTTTTTTTAAAGACAAGGTATCAATATGTTGTTCAGGTTGGTCTCAAATTATTGAATTCAAGTGATACTTTTGTCTCAGTCTCTCATGTCACTGAGACCACAGGTCAATAACTAGTTGCCTACACAAATACCACTTCTTGTCCCTGAATACCAGATGACATTGGAGAATCTTCCTTCGCACATGGAAGTGTGAAGATGCCATAGACTCATAGGTTTTCTTCTCCAGGGACCACATGACTTCCAGAACAACAGGGCCATTCTTAATGAGTTCTAGGAAGAAAGGGAATGCGAAGGACAAAGCCTCCTGCCCAGTGTCCAGGAGCTGAGCCTGCCAGTGTCCCTTAAGCATTAACAAGCACATATACACACATATTCATGTCACCACCATTAAACCCTTGTGGAACCCATCAGGGACCCACTTCTGAGACAGCCAGAAGCAGAGAGCCACTGAGCATGTGTGGTCCCCTCCCTACTCAGTACTGCTCCTTTAAAGGGATTCTGCTGGTGTGGCACTCATTCCTTTGCGCTTCATCAGACATTGAACAGTCAGCCGCCAAAGAGCAGCTCCAGGCTGGATCTATGCTGGGCATGAGAACGGGCAGCAGGTGGACCAAGTCGCAGTGTTAAGGATGGAGTAGAGATGGAAGTCTGGGGACAAGTTCCAGAGCTTTCCATGCTCTTAACTTGTCTGAGAGCCTGAGAAGGTACCACCTTGCCTTACCATGGACTCTCCTTCAGGGCCCACAGGCCCACCAGGCTTAACTCAGGGGCCAAGCTTTATGGCCAGCACTGCCCTACAGGGCCATTGGAACAGCACTCAGAAGGTCTCCACAAGAGTCCAGCTTCTATCTATGAGCCCTACGGTAAGTTTGGGGAGCATGTGTGTGCATAGAGACTCCCATCCCCAGCCCTGCAGAGATCATTGGCGGACCAGAAAGGCAGGCATTGCCCTGCCCTTGGTGACGTCTATTCTTTCCCGACATTGGCTAGTTACCGTGTGGAAGTATTATAGAGAAGAGGGCATGCCCAGGCTTCTGGATTTGTATAGGCCACAGTGGAATGCTGGGCAGGACAAAGAGCAGACTATTCCCTTTCCCTAGGAACTATCCTCACTCCCTGTATACTAACATCACATCAGGGCAATGGCCTCTCTGCAATGACCCTGAGAAACCTAAGCTTTCTTCCTGATGGAAAGTTTTTCTCCCTCTTTTGTCAGGCTTCAGTGTCAGTCCTCAGTTATGTTACAGGGGTGGCAAGTTCTCTCTTGAGGCTTGCTATGGGGTATCCTTATTTTGGGAGTGCAGACTCTACTCATGGTCATCCAAGCCGTGTCCCTGTTCTGCAGGCACACATCTGTCTTGTCAGCCTTAAGCAGGCAATCTGAGCCTGTCACCTTCCTCTTAGGAGCCCAGCACCTGCATATATATGGGCTTGGGGTTAAATTTTGGAAGACCTGTACTTTCTCTATGGTTTGGCCATAGCTTTCCACCTGTGCCTCAGTTTTCCCACTTGCCTTATTGGGAACTTACTCTTCCTTTCCAGGGACATCTGTAGGTGATGCCCTCCTTTTTCTCTCTCCACAGGCATCTGGACCTGAGGCTGCTGCCTGGGTCCCCTTCCCCACAGTTGATGTCCCAGACCATGCTCACTATACCCTGGGTACGGTGATCCTGCTGGTGGGGCTCACAGGGATGCTGGGCAATCTGACAGTCATCTACACCTTCTGCAGGTGCCTGATTGGTGGGGTTGTGTCAAGGTCACTGTGCATATCCAGCCATGCAGGCAGGGTAGAATACAAGGGCAAAGTGTCACCCAGTTCTATCCAGGGTTCCTTAGGAATGGCAGAGAACCAAGGAAAATACCTTCTGTAGTATCTGGTCTAGGCATCAATTTTTAAGCCAATGAAAAGGGAAAAATGGCCCAGGGAACCTTGAATAGTTCATGCATGCCCAGTGGGCTTCAGACATACCCTCTGAGGCAGGCAGGTACTCCAGGACCTCCAGGTCTCTGCTCATTCTACCCTGCTCCCAGTAAACCTCTGGCATGCTCTGCTCCCAGAAAAGCATCCCTGGACACCAGGATCCACTTCTAACCACTCCCAGCAGCCACTCCTAGCAGCTAGCTTGGCTTCTTCCCCACCTATCCTGCTGGCTGCTGGCTGAAACAGGCGGGTTGGGAAGCTAGTACAGACTTCAGGCTCCACCAGTGGGAGAACCAAACAAGTCATTTATTCTCCTTGAACCACATCTCTTCTCTGCAACATGTAACTGTGACTCCCCCATCACTGCACTTCCTCCTGCTTGTCATTGGTTGGAAAACGAACCCCAGTTTGCAACTTCCCGAGTTGTGCTGGGGACCAAATCCTTTTGTGAGTGAAGGCCTTAGTACTGTCATCTGGAGAAGGGGACCGTGATGCCTCCCTTAGGAGCAGGTATTAAGACGGACAGTGCTAGATGAGGGTTGTGAAGGCACCCGTCCCATGGTCAGAGTCATAGATCTTGGGCTCTTTGCTACCTCAAGAGTGAACAGTGACGCTGAGCAGGGCAGGGCCAAGCTGGGCAGCAGAAGGAGGAAGAGGAGACATAAGAAGGAGGCAGAGAAGAAGAAGAAGAAGAGGTGGAGGCCCAAGCAGGTAGTAAGAAGGTGTCAGAGCAAGTGGGAAGGGTAGCCAGGGGGACACTGTTGGGGGACTGTGGCCAGAGAGGACTGTCCAAGGGACAGAGTGAGTCAACTGAGGGAATAATCCAGAGGGTGAGAAGAAGAAAGGGGTGTTGCTGAGAGCCAGCTCCTGGGCTGCACAGCTGTTTCTGGAGACACTACTCTTTACCTCACTATGAGAGACCGACCCTGGGAGATCCTTTGCCTATATTACTGGTGATACCTGCTGGACTGAGAGACATGACTGTGGGTAGCCCAAGAGCCCCCATCTGTGTCTATTCATGTGGGGAGAGGGGTTGTGTGTTCATGCATGACATGTTGTGTGCCCGTTTACATTTAGCTTATTGGCTTTTGTGTATATGTGTATGCATGAATAGCTGAGGGAGAGGGAAGGCTCCCATAGCTGGGAAGCAAGCCCTGACTTCCTCTGACCTCACAGGAACAGAGGCCTGCGGACACCTGCAAACATGTTCATTATCAACCTTGCAGTCAGCGACTTCCTCATGTCATTCACTCAGGCTCCGGTCTTCTTTGCCAGCAGCCTCTACAAGAAATGGCTCTTTGGGGAGACAGGTAGACACTTCCTCCCTTTTTGCTATAGGGAGGAAGGGGTCATAATGGAGGGATGCCATAGGGGTGGAAGTAGCCCAGACGAGGAGGTTTGCTCTTGCTGGGCACAGTGGGCAGCACCCTGAATCCCATGACTGAGTGAACAGGAAAGATGGGGTTCTGTTCTTGATAGCCCTGCAAGCCTGGCCGGATGTGGCTAGCAAGCAGGGTGGAGATGGCTTGGTCCTGTACTCTGGGAGGCAGGGAAGGAGCGGAGTTTGTCCCATCCTTTGGGACTTTCTTCCCCAGGGACTTATGGAAGTGGATATACCCACAGGTTGTGAGTTCTATGCCTTCTGTGGAGCTGTCTTTGGCATTACTTCCATGATCACCCTGACAGCCATTGCCCTGGACCGCTATCTGGTGATCACACGTCCACTGGCCACCATTGGGATGGGATCCAAAAGACGAACGGCCTTTGTCCTGCTAGGTGTCTGGCTCTATGCCCTGGCTTGGAGTCTACCACCCTTCTTCGGCTGGAGTAAGTGGGATGGTGCTATTGGGGGAGGAACAGATAGGCTGCAAGAGGAAGTTTAAGGGAAGGTTGGGTTGGCCAGCCAGCAGAGGGCCTCATGGATCACATAAGTCTCAGGTCAGACAGACATCTGTGGCATGACCAGCATCAGGGGAAGCTCAGAGTGCTTTACTAGGGACTAGAGGACCAGTCAGGGAGCCTGTCACCACATATATGGGGGTTATTGGATGGGAGCGAGTGGGGCATATTTAATGCTGAGTTTGTTGTTAGTCAGACTAGCCTGGGCCTGGAGCAGTGAGGCCTCAGCAGGTGGGACAAGCAGCAAGGCTTTAGCCCTAAGGATCGCAGCCCTAGAGCTACAGAGGGGCTAGCTCCAGTCAATGTTAGACTGGTATCCCTACTAGAACCAACTTGGGAGTCTCCTTTCACATCTCACAACTGCCCCTGGCTTTCTCAGTTCTGGGCGGGGTAGGCTAACAGCTAGGGTCAGGATGTGCTTAGGAACCTGAGCTTCACATTTGAAGCCCTATGGAACAAGGTGCTTTAAGCAACAGCACAGTGAACGCTGAGCCCCCATTCCTGGCTCCCAGGTGCCTATGTGCCTGAGGGGCTGCTGACATCCTGCTCCTGGGACTACATGACCTTCACACCCCAGGTGCGTGCCTATACCATGCTGCTCTTCTGCTTCGTGTTCTTCCTCCCCCTGCTCATCATCATCGGCTGTTACATCTTCATCTTCAGGGCCATCCGAGAAACAGGCCGGTGAGTGTGCTGTGTAGGGCTGCCCATCAGAACATACTCGGGTGCAGGTAGGTTAAAGACAAGGGGACTCGTGCTTATGGGGCGAGGGCACCTAGGAAGGTTCCTAGAGACAAGTTCTCTGAGGAGAGCTTACTGACTGCACTCCTGGCAGAACCACAGGAGGGCAGCTGAGGTTCAGTGAAAGGCCTTTCTGGAAGTCAGAGCTGTCTGTGTGGGAAAGGATGACCCCTCCTATGTGTCCCCAGTAGCTGTGACCTGTACTTGCTACAACCCAGATGCAATCTTCCTAGGGCCTGTGAGGGCTGCAGTGAGTCCCCTCAACAGCGGCGGCAGTGGCATCGGCTGCAGAGTGAGTGGAAGATGGCCAAGGTCGCACTGATTGTGATCCTCCTCTTTGTGCTCTCCTGGGCCCCCTACTCCACTGTGGCCCTGGTGGCTTTTGCTGGGTGAGCATGTGCCATAGTGCTGGTATAGGGGATTAAGGCACAGGTCCAGGTAGCCTCTCCTTCCAGCCTGACCCAAACCAGCCATCCTGACACCCTAGGTCCAGCTTGACAGCCTTATTCTCCCCATGTGGCACCTCACAAGGCTTACCCAGTTCCTGGAAGCTTCAGGGATATAGAGGGGTAGCCCTGGCTACACAAGGTAATCTGCAGTCTCCCATCTCCTTGGGAACATGCAGATATTTATGAGGTTCAGGGTCCCTCTTAGCTTGCTGCTACTAAAGAATGAATCCCTAGGAGATTCTCTCTGGTACCCTCTATGGCACCTTCAGCAGCATGGACATGGGCTAGATTTCCTAAGCACTTCTGTGAGACTGAGATTTTGGTAATTTGAACTATTTGGGTACCAATCTTTTTGAGTAGTAATAATGCAGTCTCCTAGAGAAGCTTCTCTAGGACATCCAAGGGACAGTGTACAAGATGGGGTTAGGGTTTAGCAGCATTGCATGTGAGATCTGAAGATCAGGGACAACTGAGTGGCATAAAGAGGTATTGGCAGCTGCACAGGTTCTAAGGAACAGTGGGACCTGCAGGTGTGACCTATCTTCCTCCCAGAGCCCCACCCTCAACCATCTTTAGTCTCCTTCCTACCCATCTTAAACCAGAATCCTCACTGTTACTGCCAGTCTCTCTCTCTATGGGGCTGGCTTGCCTGTGTTGGCTTAGACTGAGCTGGCATTGGTTTAGGCTGGGCTGGAATTGGCTTAGGCTGAGCTGGCATTGGCTTAGGCTGGGCTGGCATTGGTTTAGGCTGGCCTGGCATTGGTTTAGGATGAGCTGGCATTGGTTTAGACTGGACTGGCATTGGTTTAAGCTGGGCTGGCATTGGCTTAGGCTGGGCTGACATTGGTTTAGGCTGGGCTGGCATTGGTTTACTTTGGGCTGGCATTGGTTTAGATTGGGCTGAAACTGGTTTAGTTTGGGCCTTGGCAGAGTCATCCATAGAGACAACTGGAGGTATGAATAGGGGACCCTACACTTTCTCTGTCGTAGGTACTCTCACATCCTGACGCCCTACATGAGCTCAGTGCCAGCTGTCATCGCCAAGGCTTCTGCCATCCACAACCCCATCATTTATGCCATCACTCACCCCAAGTACAGGTGCGGCCTCTTCTAGACCTCCAAGTCCACTTAGGGGCATGGAGGGTCTGAGCCTACAGATGAAGGCAGAGGTTATCTGTCTCTCTGATTTCTCATATGTGTATTAGTTGGGGTCATGAACATCTTGGCACAGCTAGCAATACTGGGAAGAGTCTGAAGTCGCATGCTCCCTCTTCTTTTCCATATCAATGGCTACCTGTGTGGAAGCCAGTCCTAACTATAGAGCTCTATCATAAGGTAGCCAGGGCAGATCCTATGCAGTACTTCCTATGCAAAGGCAAACCCCCAGACTGTGACATCCTGCAAACACCCCAGCATGGCATGCTTGCTTCCACCAGGGGCCCTGGCAGCATTCGGGGGTAATGTGGCCAGGTTCATGCTCCATTAAGAAGAACGACAGCAAGGTACTGCTGTGGGCCCTCAGAGTTGTTTTCAGCTTGGTGATGTCCAACACTTGCTAATCTCCTGATGCAGACCTCAGTCAATACAGCCTATAGTACTTAGGTGTGGCCATGGCACCCATTCCCAGAGATGTGGCCTAGGGCAACCATGTTAGGACTTGAAGCGATGTCAGGTTGGTTGAACCCACTACCCCAAGGCACTCCCTCTGTGTCCACCATTCCCTGGATCTATTTTTAATCCCGTCAGCCCTGGGAGCCCACCAGTCTCTTTCACCTAGATGTCTGTCTGTCCCCATTACCAGCATCTGTCTGTTCACCAATTCTAACCCTGTATCAGTCTGTCCTTTCCTTTTCCCCTTCATGTCCCTTTACTCTAACCAGATATGTGACTCCTGCAGGGCAGCCATTGCCCAGCACCTGCCTTGCCTTGGGGTGCTACTTGGAGTGTCAAGCCAGCGCAGCCACCCCTCCCTCAGCTACCGCTCTACCCAGCGCTCTACACTGAGTAGCCAGTCCTCTGACCTCAGCTGGATCTCTGGACCGAAGCGTCAAGAGTCCCTGGGTTCTGAGAGTGAAGTGGTAAGGATGTTGGGCCCTCATTGGCTGGTACCTCACATTCCCTTTCCCAAGCAGCCCGAGGGACCTGAACCTTGTTGGCAGGGCCACATATTAGACTGGGGGACACTTCACCTCTTCTAACCTCCCCGTGCATCACCCTCTGTGACAACCAGGAATACTCAGACAGAGAGGAGATGGGTGGTCTGAAGTCACCCAACAGCAGTCCAGTCTAAACACGGCTTTCCAAGTCACCTGTTTCTCGATGGCAAGAGCTGACCCAGGGTCCTTGTTCCTTAGCACTAAGCCACCACCTTACAGGAGGTATAAAGAACTACAAGCTGCAGAATAGGGGGCAGCACTAGCCTGGGATCAGACCTGGCTTCAAGCTTTGACCTGCCACACCCTCACTGTGTGACCTGAGAGCCAGCATGACTGGACTGACCAGCTGTCTTTCACTGTCCTATCCTTGAGGCCTTCTGTTGAGCTGTAGAGCTGCCAGAGTCTCTTTAAACCACTAGTGGAAGATGAGGGGTCTGTCTTATTTGCTAACAGAGGCCTTGACTCTTTGAAGGCTACCTAGCTGAATACCCACATGCTTAAGCAGGCAAACACTGCCAACCCCGGGATGTATTTTCCTGGGCTTTGGTGACCACAACTTTGCAAATGATGCCAATAGGTCCCCCTCAATGAATACTGGTGTAAAGGCTGGAGCTGGAAGAGGTATGGATATCTGTAAGTTGTCCCTCTCACCTCAAAATTGCTCTCCCACCTCCCCAGGGATGGACAGAAACAGAAGCGACAGCTGTGTGGGGAACTGCCCAGCCAGCAAGTGGACAATCTTCCTGCAGTCAAAACCTGCAAGATGGGGCAGTCAAAGCTCCTTCCAGCCCCCAGGTACAGAACTCCAAGGCTCCCAAGGTGCTTGCACCCTGTCAATCTGTGAAAGGGTGGAGAGTCAGGCCAAGTAGCCTAAGAAGTGGCCAGAAAGGTAGGCTTGCAGTGTGAACATGCCTCTCAAAATCACCTCTTCCCATATACTCCAGCCTTGCCTTGCCTGCCTAGAGGGCTCTGTGACTCCCAGACATCCCTAGCAGAGCCTGAGTATGGCCTATGACTAGGGGAGTATCTGCATGTGACTGTGTGACTTTGTGTGCATGAAGTGCTGTTGACTACGTTGTGTCATGACAGATGCAGAGTTATAATTGTATGTGCTCATGAAAACGTGTGGTCTGCATCAGAGAACAACTCATGCATGTGTGGCCCATGTTCCTGGCCCATGCTATCTGTCACTGCAATGCCAATGTGTTGTTTGGGTGATGGAGTGTAGATGGTTTTGTCTGATTTTGATGCTGGACATACCTGCGGAAGAGGCTGCAAGCTGTACAAGTGCTCACTGCCAATGCCCAGAGCTCAAGATGTCACTCAAAATACTTGTAGCTATAAAAAGAAGGCCAGCTGTCAGCCCCAGTGCCTATGGAATGGAATGTCGATGGTGTTAGAGAAGGCCATATTTTGGAACACTGGAAATGCCATGAGCACAGGCGCCCAGGCAGCCCCTCCCCCCTCAGCTGGCAGCTTCCCTGCCCTCCTCTTTCTTACACACAGCTCCTATCAGCCACTGAGTATTTCGGGGCTTCCTTGGCCACTCTGGAATCACGGGTGTGTCCTGTCTTCCGTCCTTATGCTGCTTCCCTATGAGTAGCCTGCTGCTGCTTTTGCAGTTGGGGAGCTCCTGTCCCACTGTGTTGTATCCCAGGCATTATGCACAATCACAGAGGTCAGGCCAGAAGCCTGATAGTGGCCTGTAATGATCAGGAAATGGTTGAAGACCAGAATATTTACCCTGGATGGAGGCAGGACCACGGAGATGAGCTTTTAGCACAGAGGGTGAAGCATCAGCAGTTGCCAAACACAAGTGATAAGCATTGCCATCAAGTCACAAGTATGCAGAGGAAACTCCCAGGGGGTTCCCTGGGGGAAGGGGTTGAACTGTCTGTTTGAACATCCCGAGTGAACACAGTGGGACTCAGGAGAAGAAACTTGGTGTCCTAGAACAGTGTGTGTGTGTGTGTGTGTGTGTGTGTGTGTGTGTGTGTGTGTGAG